TTTAGGACTAGAATCAGGATATTTTTGAAATGTGTATGAATGTAATAATTCACTGTGTGCTTTCAAAGAATGGGGAAAGAACACCTATTAATAGCCATGACATCTGCTACAAAACAAGACATTATGCAAGATAAGCAGCTTCAAAGGAAATATCATTGTAAGCAGAACCTCCTCAGGAAGCTTCTGAACTTCTTAGAACTATCAACTGTTCTTTCTTCTGTTATTGGCAATTTCAGTTGTTAAGCAGCATTTGGTAGCCAAACATTTGGTCAGTGCTTTTTTAAAATATAAAAGGTAAAGGTACCCCTGCCTGTATGGGCCAGTCTTGACAGACTCTAGGGTTGTGCGCCCATCTCACTCAAGAGGCCGGGGGCCAGCGCTGTCCAGAGACACTTCCGGGTCACGTGGCCAGCATGACATTGCTGCTCTGGCGAGCCAGAGCCACACACGGAAACGCCGTTTACCTTCCCGCTAGTAAGCGGTCCCTATTTATCTACTTGCACCCAGGAGTGCTTCCGAACTGCTAGGTTGGCAGGCGCTGGGACTGAACAACGGGAGCGCACCCCGCTGCAGGGATTCGAACCGCCGACCTTTCGATCAGCAAGCCCTAGGCGCTGAGGTTTTTACCCACAGCGCCACCCGCGTCCCAATTTTTAAAATATATATATATATATAAATGTTTGGGGGTATTCTTATTTTGTGTCAAGAAAATCACTATTTTATGGTTCAAATCAGGAAAAAGAAATACAGTAAATCAGGGATGTCCAACAGGTCGATCGCGATCTACTGGTAGATCTCCCTGAGGTTTTGGTATATCGCGGCTCCCTTTCCTTAGCGTTGCTAAAACTGACTCCTGCCCCCGGCCTCCATTGTTGTTTGATCTCTGGAAGGGAAGATGGAGCTTTCTCTGTGCTGAATCTCCCCCCCCCCAAAAAAGGGGGTTTCCTTCTCAAATAAAGCTCAACAACTTAGAGCTGAACCCCCAAAAACGGGAGTAGATTACTGCCAGTTTTTAATTCTGAAAGCAGATTGCAGTCTCTTGAGAGTTGGCCACCCCTGCAGTAAATGGACAAAAGTACAAAGATTCACAAAATGTTAGGGGTATGCATACCCCTGCGTCCTCCCCCCCCCAAAGCATTGCATTTGGTCATAGAGTATTCTGTGAGTGCATGCACGCAGGAAAGCTTCTGCCAAACACCAGCAGAGAACCGAATGACAGGGGTCATTTCAACCAAAACTGTATCCCAAATCTTTTTAACACCAATGGTATTTCACAGCTCCTTCCAAATCCTTCATGAAATGCGCAGTCATTAGTTGCACTGCCACTAAAACACAACTTCCCAACACTTTACTTTTCAAACTCAAATCGCTATTCAAGAACAGGTCTAATAAATCTAAATAACAACCCAGCTCTAAAGTTGATTACTTCTCAATTTCATGAATGACTTGTTTCTAGAAATACTGAAACTGTGGAAAAGAAAGGAAGGAAAATAAATATCTAAAATGGAACCTGATCATGGTTTTGTGCATTGCAGCAAGTGAAGAGCGCAAGGAATTCTTCTTGGGTACTAGTAAAAGCTCTGCTGTTGGTCCCTCAAATAACTCTTCTGGGTACTTCTAGGTCCCTAAGCATCAAAGAAAGAGGTCTATTTTGATTAAAACAAGACTGGCACAGTGTGTTAGGTACTCCTGGTAAGAGATCCCTACAGCTGATATAATACAAAGTAATTTATTAAATATATTAACAAGGTTGTTTAAATGCCATTTCAAACTGCAAATAGAAACCCCAAGTACAAATTGTGCAGCTACTTTGACATTTGCTACTTTCCTTCTTTCACGGCCCCCCAGAACATGTGGGCTCTTCACAGAGCGTAAGTGGAACACCGTATCATATAAATATCAAAGTGTGCTAATTTAAAGCAAAATGGCATAACTCTTTGGTCTGGGAGTCACATTGCCAAGTGGTTAGCAAACAAAATGAATCCTGTGACGTCCAAACTTTTTTCAAAGAGGGCCAGATTTGATGAAGTGAAGGACCGTGAGGGCCGACCAAAGTTGTTAACCATTTTTTAGGATTGAAGTTGTTGTGTAGCCTTATTGGAGTTCACCGATTGGGTCTGCGTTGCTCCGGGACAGGAGGAAGGAAGTCAAATGACACCATTCGAAGAAAGAGTTTATTCTGCTCTCTGGATAGCAGAAGGCACTTGCGTGATCAAGTCCATAGCAAGTCCAAAGAAATGACAAGTTTCATGCAGTATATATATCCTCCAGGCACCCTCTCCCTCCTTCTCCAGGAATGCAACCACGTCAGCCTATGTACGCAGGTTGACATCACATATGTTCTTGCTCTGGTATTCTTAACCATAAAAGGGAATTCCTTCCTGTACTTCTGACCATAAAAGGATCTTCCTCTTCCTACTCTTATCTGGGAGGAAGAGGTCATCATCTCCAGGAACACACTTTTGGCGTTTTTCCCGGACATCGGCCTGTGCGTCTTTTGTGGTCAGCACATAAGATAAGGTGCTGCCGTATCTTCTCTGTTCCCCTAGAAGAACAGCCAGGGTCATCCCTTGCCGTGACTGATAAAGGAGAGAGCTTGTTTATGCAGCTGTGTCCTTGTTATGCTTTTGCTCAACAGCTCAAGTTTTACGCATTTTAGAGTGCTCTCTTGGAGAAAGAAGAAAGGGGGGGGTGAGTCAGTTTTAAACTTACTGCACAGAAACCCATTCCTTCAGTTGAGGTTTTTTTAGGATTTTACCCCAGGAAATAAACTGCCACAGGAGCCAGATTAAACCGACTAGTGGGCCGGATTAAGTCCCCGAAATGGACTTTGGACATTCCTGCAACACATCATGGTTTTCAATGCTGTGCCATGTAGATTCATTTGAGGAAAATACAGCAGCAGCAGAAACAGAATACCACCTTTATTAGGATCAACTAAAAGCCATAAACCAGTGAGCTAGCTTCCTGTCTGAGGCTGGATGTTAAGACCCTCCCATTCCTTTGCCTGATGATTGGTTTTCATAGTTAATTTGATCCTGTGACCATCTTCTGTGGCAACAAAGACTGCTGCTCCTAAAAGAAAACAGAGGGCTCCTCCAGACTGCTGTTTTATTGTGTGTGTATTCTGAAACATCTTCTTAACATTAGTGCATTAGTTGTAGATTTATTCTGCTTGCAGTTTGCTTTGCAATGCTTCCGCAATGGTACCACATTATTGCTGTCTATAGCACACAATAAAACTAATAATAATAATAATAATTTATTATTTATACCCCACCCATCTGGCTGGGCTTCCCCAGCCACTCTGGGCGGCTTCCAACAGAATATTAAAATACAATAATCTATTAAACATTAAAAGCTTCCCTAAACAGGGCTGCCTTCAGATGTCTTCTAAAAGTCTGGTAGTTGTTCTTCTCTTTGACATCTGATGGGAGGGCGTTCCACAGGGCTGGTGCCACTACCGAGAAGGCCCTCTGCCTGGTTCCCTGTAACTTGGCTTCTCGCAGTGAGGGAACCGCCAGAAGGCCCTCGGCACTGGACCTCAGTGTCCGGGCAGAATGATGGGGGTGGAGACGCTCCTTCAGGTATACAATAAAACTAGAACATCTATGGGATAAAAAAGTGGGATTTCAGCAGTAAGTTACAGGATATACACTGCTTGGAAATGAACCCGAACTTTTGCAGGGGCAAACAGTACTGAAAGCGGGATTGTGTGTGACTGATCCAAAAGCATCAGGGACACAGATTGTCATGAATGTGCAATTTTTTAAAAAATGACCGCTGAACAGCCGTCATGTGACACCCCTCCTCACAAAAATTGTGCAAACAAATCAGGATGAATGCTTAATGAACAGGTGACCTGGAAGCCACCAGTCTGAGACCCAAACAGCATGATTATTTTAAAATTGTGCAGCAGCCTTTATGAATCCAAGACTGTTTCCTGAGAGCATGACCCGCCTCATCATAGAAATTATGCTTTCCTGTAGGCACAAACACAAGATTCTCTTAACATTAAAAAATATGCTCTGTAAATTCAAGCAATGTGGATTGAAGATGTTGAATGATAATTAAAAGTTTCATGAGTAAAATATGAAGAGCAGAAGCATATTGTCATAATGACTATTGTGGGATTAGTTAAGTAATGCTGCTTTGCTATATTCCTGTTCAGCATAAAGTCCAAACCACTTCATCCTTCCTGAACATTTTTGTCAATAAAAAAAAATGTATATCATTGTCCATTCACCAATTTATCATGGTTGGAGTTATTTCACAAGTAAGTTTCTTACAGTTTGACACTGCTCATTCTGTGAACGAGCCTGAAACCTCCGGGTATAGGGGGTTATATAAATTAAATAAATAATAATATATTTCACATTTTACTTTTTAGTATTCTTTTGCCCCTTCTAAATCAATAAAAGAACTGGAAGTTAAAAACATTTCTACCTCTGAAACATTACATGTTTATCCGAAAAAAATGTATTTCCTGAGAATCATTACTATTCATAACAACAATCGCAGAAGGCAAATATTGCAAATGAACAGTCTTATGGTACTTTAAGCCAGAAAGCTGTATCCAACTACACAGAGTAAACCCATTTACATTAATGGACCTCAGTCATGTTTATTGCTTTTGATGGGTCTACTCTGACTAATGTTGGATTCACTGATAATTAATTTATTAAGACATAAGCATTCATGGACTAGAGTCCTGTTCGCTCAATGTATGAAGCATTGATATAAGTTGGTAGTAAGGATGGGCAAACTTGTTCATTTCAATTTTCTCAGTTTTCCAGTCTTAAGTCCACATTTCCACATCAGTTTGTGAATTTTTCTTTTGAGTTCTAATTAAAATCCACCAGCATTTTAATGCAAATTACTCCTGTTATACACATGCTCATATGTGATTTGCCTAAGACACATTTTTGCAAAGCCACCTCCTCTAAATGTATGTTATTTGCATGTATATGCACATTTTTATGGACACTTAACCCGAGTAGATGCATTTTTGTACAAATTAATTGTCTGGAAAACTACATTGCAAAGTTCAGAGAAGTGTGAATTTGAAGGATGGCCGTTTCCATGGTGTTTGTGAATTAAAGCAAATTTGGGGCAGGTGTGTGTATGTATTTGCAGGGGAAGAATAAGCAGTGAGGGGCAAGGGAAATAAAATATAAAAAATACAATCTATTACATCAAAACTTAAACGAAAGTCAAATATAAACACAGTGACAATTCACAAAGTAACCCAACTACTCCCTGAATATTGCAAAGGGTGAGTTCAAAATGAATATAAGAGGCTGCAAATGATTTCAGACATGTCTAAGTCAGTCGTCAAGTGTTACCATAATACAGTAAGAGTAAACAATGAAAAAACTGCAAGGTTGAATTTCAGCAGAACAAAGAAACAATTGGCCAAATGTAGCTAGGGGCTGCGTGTTCACAGAAAGAGACTTCCATTAGGGTTGCCATACATCCAGAATTTCCCGGACATGGCTAGAATTTGGTCGTAGGAAACAGTGTCCGTGTGGAAATCGCTGAACAGTATCCAGATTTTCACTTTTTGAAGTAAGGCAGCCTTGCTTCCATGGATCTGTCTCTAGCCGGGTGGCGTATCAGACACAAAGACCTATGCTCCAGATGTGATTTTCTTCTATGAGCCAACCTTTTGCGCAAAGCTAAAATCCCATTGATAGGCTGATTGGCAGGATGAGGAAGGCGGTGGTCTAGATTCACTAAACAGCTGGTTGTCAGCATTTCAGCTTTCTTTAAAACAGGATACACGGGTGTAGCTAACCCACATGCATTCAGCTGGAGTGTAGCCACTGCACGTAGTTTTCCTCCCACAACAAGAGAAACAAATGAAAAATCCTGCTCATCATACATTAGTAGAAATAAGTCATTTCAAGTTGATTATTTTTTTGTTTGAAACACCATGTGAATTTGGTACATTAAGAAATGCTAGTGGAAGCGATGTTGTCAAAAGAGTCCGTTTACCATGTACAAATGGTGGCTGTAACAGCACCATCCATCAAAGTAGTCTTTTGAAACAGCTGCGCCAGGAGTTATTAAAAGGATACGAGGGTTTCTGTTGTATTGAGAGAGGTTGGCACCAAAGGTAGTTCTGGAGAAATCTGGTGTCCTGGTGGCATTCGGTATCTGACCTTTTTCCAGAACTTGGTATTTGCAGAATAAGAATGCTTCTTCGTAAGGTCACCTTTCCATCTAATGGCTCCCTGCTTTTGCTTGATGTATCTAATGGATTCTGGCAAGCTGCTGTAATCCTCTATTTTACCCATTTCGATCAGAATGACTTTCAGTCCAGCACTTTCACTCATAAGGGCATTGTACAAAGCTATTTGCTCCTCAGGAACCCCTTGTGATATACTGTAGGTTTGGAATCCGGGTACTAAAATAATGATTAGCCTTCTGCTTTGCTTAATGGTTTCATCAATAACGTTGACTACAGCTGTAAATTAAATAAATAAATAAGATAAATACCACATCAAAAATGGGCTTCTGCAAGTAAATCAGCTACTTTTTGTGATATTCATGGATTCTTAACGATGCAGAAATTTTTCTTAGGAGGAAAAATCCCAGATATCTGACCATATGCACATAACATATTGATGCCTTGGGATTTGAAATACGTATTCAACTCTGTGTGGGTATCCAACTTTGGCTCAAAAGCAAGCAAGCAGGATGGAAAGGTTCATGCCCCATATTAAACAGAACTGCAAGATGACTATCAGTTATTGCAAATTATTAACACCTCATTAGTTTATGGATGAGACTGAGACAACCTCTTTCATTTAAAAAGCAATAAGGATGAATGAACGCTTTTTTCATTTCTTTTCTTACCTTTTCCTGGTAAGTCATCCCGGCCAAGGATAAATAGATTATACCCACACTTTTTCTCCAAAACCTCAGGAAGCACTTTCAGAGCAAAACAATCTTGGGTATCCGTTTTTGGATACAGTACGTAGGCATCATAGATCTTGCCATCTGAAACTGAACACCACATGTAAACCTCTAATATTTTACTCTTCGATACTTGCATTTCCAGTTTTACTTGGTAAACCCCCTCCAGGAACAGCTAATGTTTGAATAGCAGCTGGTGTTGTTCACATTGGGCAGATACCATGATTTGATTCTATCTGGACTGCGTGTCGATATGGCAGCCGCTTGCAGTGGAAGACTCCTGGACTGATTAGGCAACACCAGTTTGTGAAGAGATTATGTGAATTTACAGAGGGGAAACTTGGATTACAGATTTGGAGCATAAAGAAGAAGAAAAAAGACATAAAATCCAATCAGAAATGTTTTGACTTAACTCATTTGCAGAATGAACTCAGAGATTGTTGAAAATAATGGATTAACATCAGAATGAATTATGGGAATTATTGTAATGGTTATGAAGTAGAACTATGAGGTGATTAGGATTCCCTCCAATCTCAAAGCATGGGAAGTCAGCCAAAAATTTATAATTAGGCATAATATTGGGACTGTTCGATTACTGGATAATTTGTATAATTTGTATTATATAATATGGTTTGATTGGATTGTTAAAATGGAAATTTAATAAATATTATTTAAAAAGAAAAGAAAAGAAAAGAAAAGAAAAGAAAAGAAAGAAAGAAAGAAAGAAAGAAAGAAAGAAAGAAAGAAAGAAAGAAAGAAAGTGAACACCACAGACCAAGGTAATTGGCAGAGCTAAATAATAACATAAGGTGCTAGGTATACTGTGTTATTTTTATGCTGCCTATTATCAGCAAGTAGATCAGCATATATCTCATGTTTTTAAGTGACATTCAATGGGCAATCCTGCTTTGGGACAAGATACAGGGGCAGCTTGGGCTGTGAGCTTTATTTTGGTTCCTTCCCATACCGCTCCAGTCATTTTTTAACCTAGGAGTTTGCACGTGAGGAGCTGGCATTGTGGCTACTTCCAAAGCCAACATGGTCAGCTCCTGGAAGTGGATGAGGCAGAGATGAGCCACATTACTAGCCCTGCCCACCTGTAGGGTTTCTACAGCAACAGCATGGAAGGTGCAAGGGAATGGCACCTCTGATAACAAAATAATCGGCACTGAATCTCAACCATTAGCAACTGTCTTGCAACCACTCCATCTGTAGATATCCTATGACTATAGCCACCCATTGCTTTGCTATGGCATGCTTCCCGCACCCCCTTCTTTGCTTTTATTTTTGTGGCCGCAGATAAGGGCACTGTATTCTTTCCCTTTCATAGTAAATACTGTAATATACCATTACCTTTTTTATGAAGAAAAGGGTGGCATGACTTCCGATACCAAAGTACAAGCTCAATCTTGAACAATGCGCAGATTAGCACCGGAATAAAAATGAGCAATACCAGTGCAATCAGTCCCAAGATATTTTTGGCTGAAATGGAAAAGAAAAAGAAAATGAAAAAAGTGGAGCCACTCAGATGTACCAGGATCAGACAAGCAAAGCATATATGAATATTTCAAAGTAAGGTAAGCAACTGGGATCCCACTAGGACAGGAATTGGAAATGTTGGGCCCTCCAGATATTAAAATCAGAGAACTGTAGAGCTGGAAGGGACCAGAAGGGTCATCTAGTACAGCTAGATGCATTGCAGAATAGAAGATTGGACCACAACTCCCATTATCCTAGAGCAGGGGTCAGCAAACTTTTTCAGCAGGGGGCCGGTCCACTCTCCCTCATACCTTGTGGGGGGACCGGACTATATTTGGGGGGGGGAGAATATGAATGAATTCCTATGCCCCACAAATAACCCAGAATTGCATTTTAAATAAAAACACACATTCTACTCATGTAAAAACACGCTGATTCCTGAGGGTCCTCAACCCTCCAGAGGCGATTTGAAAGGTGTGTTTATTCATTTGCATTCTTCACAATTATTCATTTTTTTTACTAATAAAAATACCAGATGACATACGTACGTGGGCGTTGTATTAAGAAGTATGCAGCAACTTCGCCCGCCTGGCAAACAAACCGCTGGTCATAATCTTCATTTTTCACCTCATTGATGGTCAGAGGGACTACATAAGCCCATGCTCCTTCAACAGGGAAGTCTTTTCTGTTCAAAAAGTAGTAGAAGTACACATTGAAAATGTGTTCTAAAGGGGCATTGTGGGGGTTGCAGCAAAGGATTTCCAGGTGCAAAAACTGCAGCCCAGATTTAAACTAGCTGCTTGGTGGACAAGGTCACATCACTCGCTCTTGGGCTGATTTAATCTACCCTGTCATGCAGCTGTGCAGATTTTATACATGGCCATTTTCTAAACAAGATCCTGTGTGGAATCTGCTGTGGACAAAGCTGAAGGACAGAAGTGTCCCATGCCGTTTGTCATGAGTACACAACGAGAGGAAACAAATCATGCTGGATTTATTTACGTTAAAAACAGATATTGCAATTTCTTTCCACTTCTTCTATTACTTTCTTTCACACACCTTTAAACCAATTTTCTGCTTCTTTTTCTATTACACATTGCAATTGAGTAGATTGGAAGTCTAACACAAAGGTGGGGTGAGGGATGGGAAAAGGGAGTATCTGTGGGATTGAGTGTGGGTATGTATGAACATTTTTAAGGATTGTATGAAATGTATGTTTGTATGTTTATTCGTAACATGTGTGTATTAATGCTGAATTATTTTAATAATAAAAACTTGTTTAAAAAATAAAATAAAAATAGATATACTTACTCGAAACCTTCTTCAATTCTACCGTTAAACAGGAAGTTTACTGGAGTATTATTGACTTTCCAGGTGATGCTATTTAAAGAGTTTCTGTAACTTGACACATTGCACATCGTAAATATTTTGGAGCCTGCAAAATTCATTATCAGAAAATGGCCATAAGACACTTTCAATAAATTGTAGTTGTACAATCATGTCACATCTTCTGGTATATAATCTCTCATTGTTTGTGCTAATGTAGTGTTTCAGTGATGTCTACGCTGGCTTGGTCATGTACACAGAATGAAAGATGGCAGGATCCTCCCAAAGATGTGCTTTACGGGAAAGCTGGATTCAGGCACCAGGCCTGTTGACAGGCCAACCTTGCATTATAAAGATGTCTGCAAATGTGACATGAAGGCTGGCAACATTAACCCCAATGTTTGGGTATCCCTTGCAGATGACTGCAGGGCATGAAGACAGACAGTGAGGTCATGTATCCACAGCAGTGCCCAGAAGAGACCTCTGGGAGAGAAGAAATGCTATGATACATCTGTAACAGTGAAACCAGATGCCTTCATCTGCCCCATCTGTAACAAAACATGTCTCTCCCATATTGGTCTCTACAGCCACAGCAGGCACTATAACTCTCCAACTGTTTGACTTTACCCTGATGGCAGACTCTTCCATCACCTCTTGAGACAGATGGATACCAATGACAACAAGAGTAAACCATCCACAAATTATCTGAGCTCTGCAGATTTCAAAAAATATTTAGGGGGGAAATTATGTAGCAAAAACAGGGAGACACTGAACAGTCAAATAAGGAACTACTTAGAAAGTGCAATGCTAGCGATTACTACTGATAACAATGCCTTCGACTCATGGAAATAATGAAATGATTGGGTTCTTGTTCATTTTGTGTTGTTGTAGGCAGTTTTGTTCGGCCAGTTCTCTTTAAAATATGAAAGTACTAAATGACTTACCAAGTTCAGCTTCAATAGTATTATTTCTGGGGTACAGAATCTCAGTTCTTTTCTTTGGTTCATTTGCTAGCAACAGAAGAAGACAGAAATATTTTCATAAGATCAGATAGAGAACAACAGCTCTTTTGGGGGGGATGGGATTTCCATAATAGTTCAGATAACAGATATGGTCAATATATAATAATAGATATTGTCTTGATGATGGGGGAAAGAGTCCAGGCCTCAGTATGGCCCAGAGGTCTTTACAACAGAAGATGTTCCCTAGGCTTCAGGGCAGGTAGCCACACCCAGGCAAAATCTCAGGGAGATGGCAGAGAGCACTCTCCATCCAAGCTGGGTGGAGTTTATTATTTAATTTCCACTCCTTCCTTCCTTCCTTCCTTCCTTCCTTAGGAGCCCAGAAACTGGAAGCCAAAGTCTGCTAGAGAAGAAAGTAAGGAGAAAATCAGGGGAGAAGCCAAATGCCCTAACTTGATACTCTCCTGAACTACCATCAGGACTGGTTTGAGACATTTTGCTGCCAGAGGCAGAACAGCAAATGCCTTGCCCACAAACAGTGTGACGGACACCCACACTAAATATGGGCACTGGGTAACATGACCAATTTTGTGTGTGTGCTAAAAGACACAACTCTCCTGTTTTTAACACGGGAGAGGTCTGGAATTGACTGTTTGTGGCAGCATTTGTGAGTCAGCAGAAGCAAGGTGTTGTGCTTCTTTGAAGACTGCCCCTTGTCCACTCCCAGAGGTTCAAAGTATGAGGCAGTAGCATACGGTGAATTTTTTTGTAGGGGAACAGTGAAGGCCAGAGGCACCAGCTTGCAAGTGTGATGGGGGGGGGAATCACATGCATGAGCACAGCATAGCACCTTCTACCCTAAACTGGGCAGAAGCTTCCAAGGCTTTGGGAAGGAGGTGCCAGGGGAACATTTAGGGGACTAGCCTAGTCCCCGCTAGACCACTGACTACATGCCACTGGTATGAGGATGCACTTCTGAAACAAAACAAAACTATTTATTTAACGGCATTGAATGAGGATTCCAAATGTGACGATTACATAAACAAGGCACAAAACTTGGTCCAAAGCACACACTCTTTGCAAAGAGCTTTAAACCACGCTCTTTTTAAAAGCAAGTCTCAATATAGACTTTTCCCACCTAGAAAAACCAGCAACACTCACTCAACCCTTTGTAGGGTTTCACCTTCCCCCTCAGGGAATCAAACTGGGTTGCCCGGCCTGGTTAAAACTTGTTCCTGACAGAGCAGGTAGCTATCTAACTCACTAACTGGCAGTCAATTCTCTATCTGAGCTCACTCAGACAGATCTAGGTCCCAGCCATCTGCCCTCACCGACTGACAGTTTCTATCTATCTGACTTTTAAACTTCCAGCTTCTCAGTTTCTGACCTGCCAATCCCTCCTGATTGGCTGATGGCCCAACTAGCTCTCACTGGTTGCTGGGGCCCCAGGAGGCTGACCCAGGGCCTGTCCATCACACACCGTACCCAAAACCGGCCAAGATATTTCAGCACCTGATGCAGAAAATCACACAGCCACCTCTGCTGTGTTTTCATGGCAACTCCAAAGTCGGCTGCTTGAGGTAGCCACCTCACTCATGGTAGGGCTGGCTCTGGGTACCAGGTGACTCTGCTTTCCATAGCTGCTGGCCTGCCATTTTCCCCCACAGGGGATCTTGTCTGCCCTCTGCTGGTGGATCCTTGCCTTTCAAGGATTTCAAAGAGCCCCTCTCTCTTTTCCTAACTCAGACAACTGTGCCCAAACTCCACAGGGCAGCAACCAAGGACAAGGACTTTCAAAAGTGGGGGGTGCTTTCCTGCAAGTGCAAAAGAGAATAACTACATACTGTATCTGACATCCAACAGCAACTCCCCGTCTCTACCTCAAGTGACCTGCCCTGTGATGGCCTGGGATTCGGACTCGGAGGCTGAACCTGAGGAATCCCAGCCTGCACAGGAGTCCCCGCCTCCAGAACCAGCTGAGCCGGGGCTGGGGCTTGAGCCTGAAGGGTCCTCACCTGTGCTGGATCCTCAGGTGCAGGCATCAGCTGAGTCTGCTTTGGCTCCTGAGGTGATGGAGGACCCATTGCCTGCAGGTGCTCCACTCTCAGCCCCATCAGAGGAAGCTGAGGTTGCCTCTGGGTCCAGTAACCCTCCAGCCTCTCCTGAGCTGCAGAGGCTCAGGGCAGAGAGGCGGAGGGAACTAAGTTTCCGCAGGAGGAGTGCTCGCCTCCAGGCCAGGAGAGGCGAGTCACCTGTGGACCGGGGCCACCCTATGCGTCGGGGCAGATAAAAGCCAGCCAGCCCCAGTCCCAGGTTGCGGGAGCAACATTGTTGGCAGCCTGTTCCTGCCTGCACCCTGTCCTGCTCTCCTGCCAGAGTTCCTGACCTCACCCAACTCCCTGCCTTGGACCCCGCTTCAGCTTTGACGGACAGCCTCCATACCGCGACCTCGGACTGGACTCGGACCTCGCCGCACGGTTAACCCTCGGGACCAGCACATGCCCAGAGAAAACATGGGGTGCTTCCAAACTGTGCTTTTACTGCATAATGGTCATGCTTTGCTCACTAACTTTTTACAGGGCAGCTACATGACATCATCATTAAATGACTGCTTTCCTCCTGCTTCTTCACACTTTCGCAGTGTAGTCTCCGCAGGTAAAGACGGTCCTAGGACTACTCTTAAAGAATTTAAGAAGAGCCTGATGGATCAGGCCAGTGGCCCATCTAGTCCAGCATCCTGTTCTCACAGAGGCCAACCAGATGCCTATAGGAAACCCACGAGCAGGATCTGAGCACAGAGCGCTCTTCCCCTCCTGTGATTTCCAGAAACTGATATCCAGAAGCATTACCCTTTTCCATGATGCATGGTTTATACATTTAAAACAACCTAGTGGGCAGGTGAGCCTATCACCCTACATCTACTGAAATGCATTTTCAAAATATTTCCTTTCCCATTTTAGTAGGTTTTTTAATTTACCCGTCTATTCTGTCAAAGTAATAACATAATTGTCCAATAGTGTTCCAGTTATAAAAGTGCTTTAGTGTGGTTTTTTTAATGCAAAGAAAAAGCCAACCTAGGGGGACGGGGCACTAGGGTGTCATTCACTGGGAATCCAGTGAACTGATACTAAATGGTAATGGAAAACATGTGAGTTGCAACCAAGTTCCACTCAGAAATGACCCATTCAAATTAATCTGTCTACATTATGTTAATACATAAACAAGGAATAAATAGGAAATCAGTCAATAATTATAGACCCATATCATTGCTTAATAATGATTATAAGCTGTGCGGGTATCCTAGCAAACAGATTGAAATCACTTTTAAAGAATAATATAAATCAAGATCAAGCGGGATTCCTCCCAAGGTAAAGGTAAAGGTACCCCTGCCCGTATGGGCCAGTCTTGACAGACTCTAGGGTTGTGCGCTCATCTCACTCTAGAGGCCGGGAGCCAGCGCTGTCCGCAGACACTTCCGGGTCACGTGGCCAGTATGACGAAGCTACTCTGGTGAGCCAGAGCCGCACACGGAAACGCCGTTTACCTTCCCGCTAGTAAGCGGTCCCTATTTATCTACTTGCACCCGGGGGTGCTTTCAAACTGCTAGGTTGGCAGGTGCTGGGACCGAGCAGCGGGAGCGCACCCCGCAGCGGGGATTCAAACCGCCGACCATGCGATCGGCAAGTCCTAGGCGCTGAGGTTTTACCCACGGCGCCACCCGCGTCCCATATTCCTCCCAAACAGACATATAAAGACAAATATGAGGATAGTGATTGATTTATTGGAATATGAGGATAGTGATTGATTTACTGGAATACTTGGAATGAAGACCAAATAAAAGAATGGTGTTTATGCTAATAGATGCCAAAAAGGCTTTTGATAACTTATCAAGGGTATTCCTACAGAAGGTATTGAAACTAATATCACTGGGGGAAATACTATTGTAATATAAAAACAATCTATGAGAAGCAGCAGGCTAGGCTAATAATTAACAGTGGCAAGACAGAATGTTTCCCAGTGGAGAGGGGCACCAGACAAGGGTGTCCCATTTCACTTTTTTTTTTTATACTAACATTAGAGATATTATTATCAGAAATAAGGAAAGATAACGGAATTAAAGGAATAACACTCAGAAAAAAGATTTAGAGCCTTTGCGGATGATATTTTGCTCACAACAGAAGAACCAGAAGTAAGCATCGCCAAAGCAATAGAGATAATAAATGATTTTGGTAGGGTGTCAGGTTTTAAGATGAATATGGAAAAGACAAAACTTATGGTAAAAAATATTCAAGAACAAGAACAAAAAGAACTTGAGGAGAAGGTAGGCCTACAGATTGTTAAGAAAGCAAAATATTTGGGTATAGATTTAACTATGAAGAATATCAAACTGTTTAAAAATAACTATGAAAAAGTTTGGAAAGGAATAAGAAAAGATTTTGAAACCTGGAGCAGACTAAAGTTATCAATATGCTCTACCAAAAATGCTATATTTATTCCAAACAATACCAATTATAAATAAAGAAAATTGCTTTGAAGAGTGGAGGAAAGATATAATGAGATTTGTATGGCAAGGGGGGAAACCGCAGATAAAATATAAATTATTGATGGATGGAAAGAAAAGAAAGGGGAGGATTGGCATTGCTAAATTTAAAATAATATTATGAAGCAGAATGCTTAATATGGGTAAGAGATTGGATTAAATTGCAAAAAACGAATATATTAGATCTTGAAAGTTTTAACATCAGGTATGGATGGCATGCGTATCTCAATTATGAGAAGGTGAAAGTCAATAAAGAATTTACAAATCATATATTTAGAAGTGCACTATAAAAGTTTTGGAATAAATATAGATTACAGTTGGAACCACAGACACCTTGGTGGATATGATCGATGGAGGTGTATGCTGTAAAAAAACTGAATATGAGAACAAATTGGCCAACATATAGACAACTATTGAAAGAAGAACAAGGGAAACTCAGATTAAAATCATTTGAGGAGATATATCAATATGAAATTGAGAGATGGCATTATATACAACTAGGAAGTATATTTAATTCTGATCAAAAGAAAGGCTTTGCAAAAGAGGATTGAAAATTCAATATTATAATAATTCAAAACAATAAGAAATTGCTATCTAAAACATACAATATTTTACTGGACTGGGAATTGATGGATGAAGAAGTGAAAGAAACTGTGATTAAATGGGCCCAAAGATGTCGGACATACTATTTATCTAGAGCAATGGGAGAAACTCTGGTGAGAAGATATTCGATTTACCGCCTTATACACAATCAAAGAAAATTTTATCAAGATGTTCCATAGGTGGTACTTAACACCAGTTAAGTTGGCAAAGATATATAAATTGAAATCTAACCTTTGTTGGAGATGTGGCAAAGAAATAGGAACAACAAACCATATGTGATGGAGGTGTGAGGAATCTCTAACGGATGCAGTCTCTAAGGGATGTACTGGAGACCTCATACAATAAAACTAAAAATGAATTCAAGTTTTAAAATTAAAACTGCATACAACCCCATTACATAGGGAATATTTTACAAAATACAGGCTTTACCAAGGAACTGAAACATAAAGATTTACCTTTAACAATCACAAAAATGCTCCTTGAAACATTATATTGATTCCCCAAATGAGTGTATGTTATTTTGCATTCATATTTTCCCTTATCATCTTCTCTCACATTGTTTATTACAAGATATGATTGCAAGACAAAAACTCGTCCATCCTGCTGCACTGCCTTGCATTCCTAAAAGCAAACAAAGGTTCAGTTTAAATGCACACAGAATGTGAAAAGTACACACTATTTGCTCATGCTTAGTTTGGCTTATCCTAAACAAATCTCTGTATAGAGTCTTATGCTAAACAAATTCACTGTAGAGGAAGGCAAAAATAAGAGAAATTATTATGTTCCTCTATTTTATATAATGTATGCAATAACTATTCAGTCAAACATTCAGCATGAAAAGCAATATTGTACACTGACCTTTTAAAAAGCACCATAGTGACTTTTTCTTATGAAATAACCTGATTGTATTATGTTAATATATGTTACATTATTTGTTTTGAGTAAAGAGGCAAAGTGGCAAGCGTGTGTCTGCCTGCCCTGTATACTTTTTGCTGTAATGAGCTCTGGAGAAGTTGCAACATACTAAATTTATGTGCCATCCCATTTATGTCTAGTTTGAGACTGAGCTGCCTAAGAGAATATGTAGTTCCAAACCCACGCTTCTTGAGAAAACTGGAATGAAGGGAGTTGCCTGCCTTGGGCTCACTTCCAGTTTCATAAGCCAGATGGCAAAATAAATGATTTTAATTGTAGCCTGGGAGATTTTGCTGGAGAAAATAAGCGGGCAATGGAAGGGGTGAGTGCTCCCTCCCCACCTGACGATGCTTCCCATTAATAATAATAATAATAATTAATAATAATTTATTATTTATACCCCGCCCATCTGGCTGGGCTTCCCCAGCCACTCTGGGCGGCTACCAACAAAATATTAAAATACTGTAATACATCAAACATTAAAAGCTTCCCTAAACAGGGCTGCCTTCAAATGTCTTCTAAAAGTTTGGTAGTTGTTGTTCTCTTTGACATCTGGTGGGAGGGTGGGTGCCACTACCAAGCAGACCCTCTGCCTGGTTCCCTTTAACTTGGCTTCTCGCAGTGAGGGAACTGCCAGAAGGCCCTCGGCGCTGGACCTCAGTGTCTGGGTAGAACGATGGGGGTGGAGACACTCCTTCAGATATACTCCCCCCCCCCCGCACTGCCCTGGCTCTTCAGTTGTGAGAGAAATGTGGCATTGAGAAATTACTAACATTAATTTTAACATTAAGTATTCTTTAGAAGAAAAGAAGTAATGGGGAAGTACCACAGAAGAGGGGGACCTATAAGGATCCGTACCTTATACCAACGAACAGAGAAAAAATCCAGCTCTCGTCCCAAGTCCTCCGTGTTAGAACACACAATCTTTGCAGCTGATCCTTTTGGTACCGTTTGATTGTAGCTGGACTTCTCATTAAAACAGAGAGCGGCACTGTCATTGACAACCAGTATTCTAATCCTATTTCTGTAGCATATTGTCGAATTCTGGTAACTAAACATGAAAATGTCAGAGTTAAAATTACTTCAGTTTTATGCTTTTGCAGCGTAAGCATACCCACAGCCATTCCAAGTGTTGCCCCCCACCCTCACAATTACTATCTTACGCTCTTTCCTTCTTGCTAATCCCAAAGGAGCTCCTAGCAATAAGATAAGGAAGGCGGCTGTTTGGATACCTTTTGTTATAGTGACAACACAATAGCAAGCAAACTTTTGTTACCAAATAGACCCCTGTCTACTTTATTGAGGCTGCAATCTTATACTCCCATTGAACTCATAGGGGCGTACTTCAGCCTAGACTAGGGCCATGGGTGTAGCCAGAGGGGCATGGAGGCAGATCCCCCACCCCTAAATCAAATAAATAAATAAATAATATTTAATTAAAAGTAGAAATAATCAGAATATTTGAAATTGAAATGCCCGCTGCGGCCACTTGGATTATATTGTGAAAGGTTTTCAGCAAATCCAAGAAAAGTTGTTTTAGTCTAGATTTTTTTAAAAATAGGATAAAAATTGTGTGTTCTTTGTAATTTTGAAAAATATACTCGTTAACCACATGAAAGGTACTCCCTGACATAAATTTTTTATTTAACTTGGTTTTCAAATGACTGAAGATTTTGACAGCTTTTTCTGAAAACTTGGCGTCAGAAAAAAGTACCGTATTTTTCGCTCTATAAGACGCACCAGACCACATGACGCACCTAGTTTTTGGAGGAGGAAAACAAGGGGGGAAAATATTCTGAATCTCACAAGCCAGAACAGCAAGAGGGATCGCTGCGCAGTGAAAGCAGCAATCCCTCTTGCTGTTCTGGCTTCTGGGATAGCTGCGCAGCCTGCATTCGCTCCTTAAGACGCACACACATTTCCCCTTACTTTTTAGGAGGGAAAAAGTGAGTCTTATAGAGCAAAAAATATGGTAATTTTAAAACAACTGTTGTTGAAATGTTTCATTCTGAATCTGCTAGACAGAGCCAGATAGAGGAGGGTGACAGGTAGGTGTCTTGCCCCCATCACAACATAAATCCTGGCTTCCCCCATGACTAGGGGTGGGGATGGTCAGGCCTGAGGGGCAATTGCAGTCCTCCAGGCTTCTCTGTCTGGCCCCCAGGACTCTTTCCAGACCCCTCACTGGGCCTGATTCATACTCTCCTTGAGTATTCTTTGCCTGGGTGGAATGTGTACTTGAACTGTAAGAAGGCCTTTCTTGACTGGATGGGGGATAAAGAGAAATGCCTGACTGTGTGTAAAAACTATCTTAAGGTAAAAAGGTAAAATTTACATTCAGTGATCTACCCGCTTCTGCCTGTGGTCCCACCCATGTGGCTCTTGAAAAGTTATGCAAGAGGGAATGTGGCCCTCAGGCAGAAAAAAAGGATCTCTCACCCTTGGAGAAGACACATATAGGATTGTACTTCTTGGACCAAATATGTAAACAAATGGAAATGGGAAAATAGATGGTCATAAACGAATACCCACTAAAATTACAGGACCTAAATCTGACGCTTCCATACCTAAGGGTGCAACATCTGAAATCTCCCAATTTGCAAAGGAATCATTTCAAAAGATCTCTGCCGAAATAGTTCAATCTGGTTGCCCAATGGAAGAGCACAGTCATTCCAATCTTACGTCAGTTTGAAGGTTTTCCAAAACAAAACCCTTTAGTCGTTTACCAGTGTTTTTTAACGATGTTTTGAAAACGTTCGGATTGTCCTGGACTTAGGCAATATTGCTGGAATGCAAGCACAAACACTGAAATAAACTAGAATGTGCACATTCCACAGTCAAATAACTGTGAATGCCTGAAGAAATGCTTTCATCCAGAGAGTGTAGTTTTACTGAACTTCATCGAGTTGAGGATTAGGTGATGGGAGGATAAACTAAAGATTACCAGTCATTTTAGGACAAAGATAGATGGCATACCATTTTGGCTGAATGGCTTTGTGCAATGGAAAAGGGGGGTCAGGAATTAGTGTTGGAAAATACTAAGCAATGGGATGCTCTGACTGGTATGAGTCAAACACATTCAGAGCTGTTATACAATCACGTGTCAGTCAATTAGAATTATGAGAACTTTGAATGAACTCTGACAATATTCCCCAAAAGGCAGTCATCCCTCAGCAAAAATAACACAAAGTCTCAAGTCACCATAAAGACTAGCAAGTGTATACAGTGGTACCTCGGGTTAAGAACTTAATTCGTTCCGGAGGTCCGTTCTTAATCTGAAACTGTTCTTAACCTGAGGTACCACTTTAGCTAATGGGGCCTCCCGCTGCCACCGCACAATTTCTGTTCTCATCCTGAAGCATTCTCATCTCATCCTCATCTCATTCTTAACCCAAGGTACTATTTCTGGGTTAGCGAAGTCTGTAACCTGAAGCGTCTGTAACCCGAGGTACCACCGTATAAGCTTTTGTTTACTTTCCACTTAAGACAGTGCTGCATGGAATGGATCAAATGGACTGCAGCCCATGAAAGCTTAGACCACAATGAATTTGCTGGTCTTTAAGGTGCCACAAGAGTCTTTGCTGTTAAGATTCTTCAGTGAGAACTACCAATGAAAGTGTAGCTGGCAAAGGGCAGCCAAACTTTTGAAGGCAAAAACAGGTATTACCATTTTGTCTATATACATCAGCGTTGGGGGCAGCATGCAAGGCACGATATACAAGCATCCTAAAGTTAAACCCTGACATGTCATACTTTGAAAGCCACTCTAGTTGAGCACTTGCAAAAGTTCAAGCTTCTAATGCCCATTTAAAGGTAAAGGGACCCCTGACCATTAGGTCCAGTCATGGCCGACTCTTGGGTTTCGGTGCTCATCTCGCTTTATTGGCTGAGGGAGCCGGTGTACAGCTTCCAGGTCATGTGGCCAGCATGACTAAGCTGCTTCTGGCAAACCAAAGCAGCGCACGGAAACGCCGTTTACCTTCCCGCTGGAGCGGTACCTATTTATCTACTTGCACTTTGACGTGCTTTCGAACTGCTAGGTTGGCAGGAGCAGGGACTGAGCAACGGGAGCTCACCCCGTCGCAGGGATTTGAACCGCCGACCTTCTGATCGGCAAGTCCTAGGCTCTGTGATTTAACCCACAGCGCTACCCACGTCCCAATGCCCATTTAGAGCACCTGTAAAAAGTTTAGTGGTGTTCACGGAACACTAACCTCAGCCACCTCCCCCTTTCCTTGCCCTCAAGGACCCAGGGACTCCCCTCAGTGATGGGAAAGGCAGTAGAAGTAACCACAGGCACTGCCACTCCCCAGGGAGACATCTACTCTTGTCAGGGAGGGAGATGAAAGCATCTCTTGTGGAAATTGATGCAAATAGCCCTCTTCCCAGTGGAAATTAGTGGAAACAGCATTGTGTTACCGCTGGGCATATTGGAACATGAACTCCCAAATCCTACCTGGTGGAAATGGATGTTTCTAATATGAGTGGAGGGCCAGCTTCCACCTTCTGCCTTCCCTATGGCTGCAGGTAAGTTGCTGGGCCTGGGAGTAGCAGGAGAAGGTGCTTGAGGTTGAAGTCAAACAGGCTTTGCTTGCACCAAGCTGTGAACACAGACTTGCTCCACTTGCAAGGAATTGAATTGGGGGGCTCGTGTATGGGATTTTTGTTTTCGTTTTGCTTTTGAGTGGATTGTTCGATCTCGATGACCCTTGGGGTCCCTTCCAATTCTACGATTCTATGATCTGCAACCTCTCTGCAAAGCACAGCCTCAAGCAGCCATTAAACAATATCTGCTTATCACAGATTTGTTGCACTGGGAAATACAGTGGTACCTTGGTTCTCAAACGCCTTGGTACTCAAACAACTTGGAAGCCAAACACTGCAAACCCGGAAGTAAGTGTTCCGGTTTGCGAAGTTTTTTCGGAAGCTGAACATGCTCCGTTTTGAGTATCACGCTTCCGATTTGAGTGTTTCACTTCCGATTTGAGTGCCACACTTCCGTTTTGAGTGTTACGCTGAGGTCTGTCTGTTTTTGCTGTTTATTTTGCGTTTTTGTTTTTGCAAAAAATAAAAATTGTTTTTGTGACTGTGTGGAACGCAGTTCAGCTACTGATTGATTGATTGTGTGACTGCAGTACATTGTTTATTGCTTTCATTTTATGGATCAATGGTCTCATTAGATAGTAAAATTCATGTTAAATTGCTGTTTTAGGGGTTGTTTTTAAAAGTCTGGGATGGATTAATCCATTTTGCATTACTTTCTATGGGAAAGCACGCCTTGGTTTTGGAACGCTTTGGTTTTGGAACCATCTTCCGGAACGGATTAAGTTTGAGAACCAAGGTACCACTGTAGCCAGATTTCCAATGGTATAGCCTGAATTACCACCCTCCGCCATTTACACACATGCAGCACAGTTAAATGCAAGTCCTGACCGTATAACACATTCATATAATCCAGAATCTTCATATCTTGCAGGAATAAACCACAGCTTTGTTCCACGCTGATGAATTCTGGAGGATGGGTCTTTCGTTATAGGTGTTTCATTTCCACTTGTATACCAGCTGAAATTATAGGGTGTGTTTTCAAGATCTGGTGTTGGGTAAAAAAAACAATGGCGTCCTAGAGGTTCTCCTTCAGCAACGTATGGGTTAGCAATTTTAATATCCTGGACAATGCATTTCTCTGCAAGGAGGAAAGGAAATTATTATTTTTAGTTTCGAGTGAGATTTTTTTTATTGACTGTTAAAGGAGAAATTAACTTCAGCTAACCGATAGGAGCCAACTACATCTACCCACAATGTTGCAAGTTAGGTAATCTTAGCTTATAGTGTCAGACTAGGACCTGAGAGACCAGGGTTTAAATCCCCACTAAGCCATGAAGCTCACTGGGTGACCTTGGGCCTCTCCGCCTGACCTACCTCACAGGGTTGTTGTGGTGAGTTAAATGAGATGGGGGGACAGCCATGTATACCACCTTGTGCTCCTTGGTAAAAACAAGGTGGACTACAGAGGTAATAAATAAATACATAATGTAAGAAATAAATAATACTGTAAGTTTGAACTTACCCTTGCATAATCGTGAACATACAAAGCAAATATCGGCAGCACAGCAGTGAAAAGCCAGAGTTTTAATCCTAGAGTATTTGGGGCATCTAACAAAGATTGCTGCTTTTCACTATTGCTTTGTGTCCCCCCCCCTTTAAATATTTGGAAAGTTCCCCACAAAATCAATTTCTGTATCACCCACCTGATTTGAGTACACAGAAGAATGATAGCATAACAGTGCAGGAAATCCTTAATGTGGTCTTCATGTTTTACTACACGAAAGGAAAGGGAGAGAAAGATTCGTTAATGCCCTTTTAATTTGATACGTAACCCCAAAACACTTTCATTATTATTTTTACTAGTAAATGGTATCTGCAGCTGCAAGAATGCGGTTTTTTCCTAGTTTTTTGTTCTCCCTCCTTCAAAAAAGAAAGTTTCTTAGCACTTCATGCAACAGAAACCAAAAGGAAAAGCCTTTCATCTTTCCATCTATGAACAGAAAACCATTCTCCTACAACATGGAGAATGGGGAAGCCTTTGTGGTGCTAACCATCCACAGTAAGGTGCAGCTACCTTAATAACTATTGTGCTCTAGTAACACAAATAGCTCGCTACAGAAAAACATGTCTCTTTGAATGTGCACAACATGTTAGTTCATGCACCAGCAAGCAAATGTTAAGTTTTCATGCACATACACAAAACTCATTCTGTTCCCACAGCTGGTCCAAGCCATTTACCTGCCTCAGTCAAACAAGATGGTTTCCTCGACCCCTCATTCCACAAACAAAATCCTAATAAGGCCACCAAGGAGAACGCTTCCTCCATTTCACCTGAGGGCAACAGGCTAGCTTAGCATGGCCTTTACATCTCTCTCTACTACTCCATGCACCCAGCACCTGCCCCTCCCCTGAGGTGGCTACCTCACTCGGCCATTGTAGGTTCAACCCTGACTGCTACACCATTGCCTGGCCACATCTAGGCCTTGCTAGATATAGAGATACCACCTGTTCCCTGGCTGGATATGTTTATGAGGAGATGAGTCTCAGCCCAAGGCGATTATCAGAATCACCACACGGTTGGGTCAAAAGAAAGTGGCTGGAACTTGTGAGAGAGTCATTGACTTCCACACATGCGTTTGCAGCCAATCCCAGCTCAACAACACACACCCCAGTATAAATATACACAGTTGCAAACATGCGTTATATTTTGAGATAGAGGTTAAACAGGTACATTTAAAAAATGAAGCATATGAAGTAACCTCAAGTGTAAGGAATAAGATCGCCGCAAATCCATTATTCGGTGACCAAAAGACACGGACACTTAAGGCAAAAGGTACAGCTACAACACATAAACAACAACAACACACCTAAAAAGTGAGAAATCAAAGCAATTTCCCACTTCCCTGGCCCACATAGTAAAGTAACTGTGACTCTAGCCTGTAATATAAGGCTGTAAAATCACAGAAGGATATTGTAATGATTCCATAGTTCATTAGCCACTGCTTGTAAGGTCAGGGCTGGGCCAAGACATTTGTTGCCTTGGGCAGTAGACAAGATGGCATCCCCCTCTCCATTCCACATGCAGAAGTTGACTGGACTGGCAGCTGAATCTTATATTTGCAAAGGCACTAGGACCACATTTTTCACTGCACCTGAGGTTAGCAAGCTTGTTTAGGGTGCTGTATGACACACACAGCTCTGTCCACACCTTTCCCTTCAGCATTTGATACCTGAGGCAGCTGCCACACTCTGCCTCACGGTATGTTTGGCACCAAGCAATGCCCACAGAATATTTAGTAGGCTGTTATCGCTTACATAGTTATTATTACCAGTTTTCATCCAGTTTTGCTTGAACTGCTCTTCTACAAGGACGTTAGAATCTAACAGTTATAATCACATAAAGGAAAAATTTGACTCTTGCTGGGAGCTATCGATGCAGAATTAACCACAGGTATAAAAATTTTGCCCTGGCTGTCATCAATATTAAATTAAATATAATTTATGATCCTCTTTTGTCACCTGCCATTTTAGATCAAACATTATCACATTTATTTGTTGCTGATTTTAATTTCAAATTTTGCATTGTATTATTTTACTTTACTTCTATTCGTTATTGTGGGGAAGACGATGAAGGATTTTCACATTCCAGTTTTGAACTTTGGCCAATGGCAAGATACTACAGAAAAATCCCGAAAAGCCTCTCTGAAGGAATGGAGAGCCTCTCCTGAGCAATATTTATGACCAATGGCAGCTAGAAATGAAGCTATTCTAATAATACAGTCATCTAATAGTGAGATTGTAAAAAAAAAAAAAATGCATTTTCAACTAAGCTGCGAAAATCCAAGATGCTCAAGTCTCCCACTTTACTTTAAAAAAAAAAAAAAAAAGATGGTTGTTTCTAACAGTCTGAAATATTATTTCTAGCCTCCATTCCTAGCTTCTGCTAAAATTATCAGTGCTTTAAAAATATTTTCTTAGTATCTCATAGGATCTTTAGGTCCAGGGTATCTCAGGAGTCACCTGAATTCTCATATCCCAGCACAATCACTGATGTCATCGGTCCAGACACTCTGCCAATAGAGATTCAGTGAGTGTCTTCTGTGCCAACTTTTAAAACGCCTGATGAAAACCATTTTATTCCACCAGCACCTATGCAAGCAATCTCCTACAATGGTTTAATGGTGCTTGTTTTTCACTCTTCTGCTTTTAAATCATTTTTTTAATGCTTTCATTGTGCGGCTTTTATCTTTTTTAATGTTGTAAACCGCTTTGATACGTTTCGTGGTATACAAATACTTTCAATAAATAAATGTACATTCCTCAAAAAAGAAAACAATAGTATACAATGGCAGATCACACCAGGACATTAAGTAGCTCATTTCTAAATACTAAAGAATTTTCTCATTAACCTTTCTCAAATATTGGACAGTTATTGTTAGCCTTTATAAAGTTAATTCCACAAACCTGGGACAGAAGAGAATCAACCACCTTTCAGGTCCAAAAACTCTGTAGTGTCTCATGATGAAGCACCAAACATCTTCTTTCCAGAAAATCCCACCCCAAAGTTGCCTTGCCTCTTGTTACTGTAATCCTTCATGGAAGAATAGAGTGTGGGTCTATTCTGGCAACAGTTCAATATAAAAAGGCTGGAAAGTCTACAGTACTCCTTAAATGGAAATACAAAAGACGCATTAATATCTCAAAACACCCTTATGTCCGATGAGAGCTCAAAACAGCCATACCACATCTCTCTTTTTGAAGCTCTGTTGAAGAGAAAAACCTGTTGCTGCATTCTGATCTTCTCCTCTATAAAATCAGCTTTGGGCATTATGGAAGTGTGCACATTTGCTGATGGTGAAGACCATGAAATTTAGCACCCTGTGGAGTAGTTCCATTGTACGGAATGCCTGGTGTATACCGAACTTGCCAGTGTACACTCCTCGCTGCGTAAGGAAAGCTACAGAAGCAAGTCTAATCCGTATCCTACCGGATAGAAGTGGAAACCCACAAGCAGATGTGTGGCAAGAGCTTCACTCCTCTCCTTTAAACGGGTTTTACCCGTTTACAGAGTTGTAGGCAAGGAAGTTGTTAGGGCAGAGCAAACAATTATGCACCAACTTCAAAACAGCACAAATCAAAACTCTGAAAGGGGTGGCTTCCTTCCCAACATTTGCAATGGTGTGGGTGTGCTGAGCTCTCTCCAGAGACAAGTTGGAAAAGATAATCTCATCTGAAACAAACATGGAATTTCACGCAGGAAATTCTCCTGGCCCCAGATTGAGTAAAAGCCATCTGTATGACAGACCAGACAAGCTGTGAGGGAAAATGTGCTTAAAATGTATGGCATGTATGCAGTCCAGAGTCTAATATTACCCAACTGCATCTCTGTTTCAAATCATGGTTGCTTCAGAAAGGAGGATGATATTTTTAATCACCTCACTTTGAATTGTGGGAGTGGGGAGGGGGAGAGCACAAGCATGTGTGTCTGTGGTAATTCACAAGAAGAGAAGTCAAACTCTCTCAAATCTCAGCGCCTCACTTGCTGCAAAACTAGTTGGAACAGTTCTTCAACTCTACATTGAAAAGGACCCTCCAAGATTGGTAAAGAGCATGGCATCATGAAAACGGTGTGAGAGGAAGTCAAAGTACCAGGTCGAGAATGGAAAGAATGTCTGTCAAGTACCTGGAAAAGAGCTAAGAAATTGCCACATCATTTGCACTTGCAAAATGGCATGTACCAAACCCTAATGCACTTCCTTCTTAGGGGTTACCAGCTACAGAGTTGGCCACCTGGTCTACACATCACTTTTGCTGTAGTGGTCACCACATCCTCATCCATATTGTCGGTCACCAGAGGCGTATCTAGGGGTTGGTGAAACCAGGGGGCACAAAAATCACCTATCAGACCATGTGTGGTACATATGTATGTTGCAATGTGCCACTTCTGTCGTAGTGAGATCAAATGTGGGAGAACCTTCCTCGCACCACAGGACAAAAGTGTGTGAATTTTTCCACCCTTCCTCCTTGCCTCACCTTCACTCCAGATGTTTTGATTACTTGGATCCTGTAAAATGTACCGCATTTTTCGCTCTATAAGACACACTTTTCCCCTCCTAAAAAGTAAGGGGAGATGTGTGTGCGTCTTATGAAGCGAACGCAGGCAGGAGGCTCTACTCAGCACTCCCTTTAAAGAACCGTGTGGAGCATCTGCCCTTCTCCCTCCTTGGGGAAAAGCCCCCAAGAGCCACACACATGCTCCGTGCACTCTTTAAAGGGAGTGCGGCTCTTGGGGGAGCCTTCATCCAGCTGCTCGGAGAGGCTGTGTACGGCTATCCCATAAGCCAGGACAGCAAGAGGGATCGCTGCGCAGCAATCCTGCTTGCTGTACTGGCTTCTGGCTTAGCGCACGGCTCTTGTGGGAGGTGGGGGAAGGGACAGAGCACATGGCTCTGTCCCTTTCCCCACCTCCCAGAAAAGGCCCCAAGAGCCGCGCGGAGCGTGTGTGCTCTTGGGGGCTTTTTCCTCCTCGGGGATACATACAGGCTCTGCTCAGCACTCCCTTTAAATAATATTTTTTTCCTCGCATTCCCCCTCTAAAAACTAGGTGCATCTTAGGGTCAGGTGCATCTTATGGAGCGAAAAATACGGTAGTTATTCTAATGTGACTATCGTGGTAAAGTGATTTTTTTTCATTGGGAGGAGTGCTGATACAGCTCGTGGTCAAAGGCGCAAGGGACCCTGGGTACACCTCTGTTGGTCACTGTAGGGAGTGGGTGTATATGTAATCACCCCAAATGAGTGACCCTTCACCATTACATTTGGGGTAGGCAGAAACGTTCTATGGAGTCTGCTGGGTGCATTGCATATGGGGCAGGTAGTCTAGGACTTGCATATCTGAAGATCCCATTCATTTTCAGTGCAAAGCAACCAACCCGACTTCTACATCCCCACCAGTATGCATAGCACAATGCATTGCACGAACCCAAGTACACCTAGAAGTAAGCAACCTTTCTGTTGGGTGAATCAAACTTCCAGCTGCAAGACCCTCAATGCCCTTGGAGTACAGAAACAAAAGGAAAGGCCAACAGGAATTTACAGCGATGGTGACAGAACTTTCCATAGCTTTCAAAGTTTTACAAATAACAATTTCTGAGGCAAGTTGTGTATACCATATCCTTAGGCTAGAACATGGTATGGAAATTCAGAGATACTTTCAAAACATGCAGACAATCTTAGCAGCGTTCATCCTTGGTATGTGCCCATTTTAATTGTCTATACATGTCTTGCTAATTTCCTGAGGCACAGTTCAAAATAGGTCTCAACAAGCAAAACTCAGAAATATATCTTCACCCAGCAAGAATACGCCAGACGGCGTTCTATTGCGTGGACAGGCAGAGTCCCCCAAACCCTTGGCGGCTCAAGACAATGTGCTATGGGATTAAAATTGGCCACAACTTTATTATGTTTCAGATGTGGGTAGACCTTGGCTCAGGCATTGGGCGTTTATCCCTCCCAGTCCCCCGCCAGGGATCTAGGGAATATCAGGGTTATCCAGTGTGTGGGGTGGATGGGCTGGCTCTGGAGAACATATGTTCAAGCAGAGAGAGCCCGCCCCTGTTATGCCACCATCGCAGGGGAGAGCAATGACGACCTCTAGGCATACGGTCAAAGCTTCCCCTCAAAAACCCCTTTAACAGGGAACCCTGGTATCGCCGCCGCAAAGAGGAAGGGGGCGTGGGTCACACCCCCATTCAGGGAAGATAGACTAAAAGATTCCGCCCAAGGCCTGATACCACCAAAGTTGTGACGTTTTGCTATGGGAAAGGCAAACCTGCCAATGCAGGAGAATTCCTTTCCGGCCCTTCTACAGCGACCTTGACGTAGCAGCGCCCATGTAACTGTGGAGAAAAGGTTAACCTGCAAAAGAAGTCTTAACTGAGGGTGGGTAGGGTGGGAGAAGCTCTGGAGCCAACTGATGATTCCCAGGTAAAATCCTCCCACTATTGTGTGGGCAGGTGGTCCCTCCCCTTACCTGGCCTGATCACCTTGGCAACGCTTTCCCAGGCAGGATTGGACGACTGAGGTAGGCGGGGACCTCCAGGTATCCCACCTGGGGGGAGGCAAAGCCAAGCCTGTTCTAATGGTACCGCATAGGGTCCAGGAGCTGCGCGCGACCACGCAAAGGGCGCCCCCCCATTTAATGTGGGGAGCGGTCATTGTTGTGTCCACAATCGCAAGATCTAGTTCCTCATGAATCAATGCCAGTTCTTCAGAGCTCATTAGCATATGTGATCAGGGGTTTGGGGGGGTGGTAACCATATGAATCAATTTTCACTTCCTGAACTTGGTTGCTATCTCATGACCGCAGACTGTTTGAGATTTCAAAATCTTGAGTCGTATAGTGTAATCCACAAATGTAGCTATCATCACTGTACATCTGATTCCACATCATTTATGAATAAATTTAAAAGCAGAAGTCTCAGTATAAATGCCATCGCAACACATTCTGCTTGCACCTTCCTTCTGCTTCGTTTAATCAGTCACCAATGCATAAGGAAATCTTTTTGTCTTAACACATGACTGCTAAATTCATTCAGGAGCTTTAAGGGAAGGACTTTGCCCAAAGCTTTTGGAAAACAAAATAGATGATGTCTACCAGATTAGTCCCGACTTCACGCTTGTTCGTATGCCTTCAAAGCACTCCAAAACACATGGCAATACTTCCTTTTACATAAGCCATGCGGCAGGCTTTAAGCCTGCCTTTTTATTTCATAATAAGGCACTCAAGGAAGTAATCAATGAAGATTAAAAGCCATGCAATCGTTTTATTTTATTTTAAATGTAAGCAAACCAGGATTGCTGCCAATAATCAGGGACACCAAGAAAACAATCTAGGAGCTATTCAAGTCACATACATGCCAAGACAAACATATTTTTGCTTGCTGCCTAAACCTCACTCGGGGAGGAGCTAAGTTCACCTCTTGAGGCAGGAAATTCCAGAGTTTTGAAACTGCAGCAGGGAAGAACATCCCATGTTTCTGGCAACACCACAGAACAGAGCCTCCCCAATAACGTGAGTGCGTGGGCAAGAGCACATGAGAAGTGTCCTTAGGAACCTACCTTAGATCTTCAGTTACCTTTGATGCACTTGACTCAGCATTGTCCACACTGAATGGCAAATAGCTCTCCAGGGTTTCATATAGGATTCTTTGGGGAGATGCCAGGAATTGAACCGGGAACCTTCTGGATTCAAAGCAGATGCTTTGCCACTGAACCACAGCTGTTCTCTAAGAGTCCCTTTCAAGTAACCTGGTCTAAAGCCCCTGAAAGCTCAGAATGAGCAGAAAAGCCAGTGGTGTTGATAAAATTCCATTCCTTCTCAATATGGGGAGGGGATGCCTTTGCCACACCCTCCTCCCCTGCAAGATGAAGAGAGGTGGACTCTCCCACAGGGGGCATGTGGGCAACCACATGGGATGATGTGCCCTATAGAAGTGGAGAGCAGGCTATTTCAGCCCACTCCATAGCTGACTCCATAGCTGACTAATATCGAAGGCAGAGTAGTGTGTGGGCCTGTCAGGCACATTGGGGTGAACGCTGGCTGAGAAGAAGAAGAAGAAGAAGAAGAAGAAGAAGAAGAAGAAGAAGAAGAAGAAGAGGAGGAGGAGGAGGAGGAGGAGGAGGAGGAGGAGGAGGAGGAGGAGGGAGTTTGGATTTGATATCCCCCTTTATCACTACCCAAAGGAGTCTCAAAGCGGCTAACATTCTCATTTCCCTTCCTCCCCCACAACAAACACTCTGTGAGGTGAGTGGGGCTGAGAGACTTCAGAGAAGTGTGACTGGCCCAAGGTCACCCAGCAGCTCCATGTGGAGGAGTGGAGATGTGAACCCAGTTCACCAGATTACGAGTCCACCGCTCTTAACCACTACACCACACTAAGAGGGTCACAGTGTGCATGTCATGTTCATATACC